AGCTGCCCAAAAACCACCACCACCACAGCAACAACAAACGTGGTATGAGAAATTTGAAAAATAAAAAAGTCAAAAATGAAAACATTAACCATAAATATTAAGGGTTCAGTGTAGGATTTGGTAGTATATTGACCACAATAATGTAGCAAATTAAAAGGCAGATAAGAAAAATGAACTGGAATCCTGAAAGGTAGAAAATGCAGTATGCTAGACGTTGTTTGACTTGTTCTTGAGTATGTACATGCTTCAGATACATACAGGATAAAGTTGGCAGTCTTTGGAAAGTTTGAAAATTGTAATTTACCCAAGCACTGTCTCACAAAAAAATAAGCATAGTTATTAGATATATATTTTCTGACTGGTACAATAATAATTTTGTTCCAGTGGCAGAAATACATTGCAGAAAAAATTAGCTTGGAAGAAGATGTAAAATTCTATTGTTCCTAGAAAAAGAGAAGGACTAAACCTAGAACAGACAGAGCAGTGCTCAAAAGTTTAAAAATTAACAGTTCCACATGATTTCGATTTACCCAAAGTCTAACAACTATTTATTATCAGAGCTATGAAAGAAATAGCATTTTCCCTATATCTCAATTCTTGTTGATGTACTAAGGTATTTAAAATATTCTTAAGAGTGAAAAAGAGTTTCAAGTACATGCAGTGCCTCAGACTATAAATCTGGGTTACATAAGTATGATATTTGTTTTATAATAAAATAACCTCTTCCATACTTCATAAGGAGAATGGTACTGATTTTTAAATTTAAATTTGCATTTAATTTTCAAACATCTAGTACTAAAAGTGTTTTAATAATGAAAAATTATTCAAGATTTTGTATATTATGGGTTTTTTAAGGGATTTTAAATTTGAAAATACATTTTATGCATTGTGGTTATTTTATTTTTAACTTCAAGTAACTTATTTAAGTAACATATTCTCATTTTTTCAGCTTTTAGATGACCCAGATGTCAAGGTCAAACTCAAGATCCAGTCTTTAATTTATCCTGCCCTTCAGACACTTGATGTAGATTCACCATCATATCGAGAAAACTCACATTTTCCAGTTCTGCCCAAATCACTCATGGTCAGGTTCTGGAGCGAGTATTTTACTACAGACAGATCACTTGAGGAAGCCATGCTGTCCAACCAGCATGTTCCTGTGGAATCGAGTCATCTGTTCCAGTTTGTTAACTGGAGTTCCTTACTCCCCGAGAAGTTTAAGAAAGGCCACATTTATAAGAATCCAACTCATGGTAGTTCTGAGCTGGCAAAAAAGTATCCAGGATTCCTAGACGTGAGGGCAGCACCTCTGTTGGCTGATGACAAGAAGTTGCGTGGTTTACCCCTGACCTATGTCATCACCTGTCAATATGACGTCTTAAGAGATGACGGACTCATGTATGTCACCCGACTTCGGAATGCTGGAGTTCAGGTGACCCATAACCACATAGAGGGTGCATTCCATGGAACACTTTCATTTCTGCAATTTAATATTGGTCACAGAACAGTAAATCAGTATATTAGTTGGCTACATACAAATCTGTAGCAAAAATTCGATCAATTGGTATATAGGAAAATGCAAGCCTAAGAATCTCAGGAAAAAAAAATGGAGCTCAGTTGATTTATGTTAGGAATACATTATTTTTTTTATCAACAATGGTTTTCCTAAATGCACATACACACAATAGTTGTTATTGTCAGTA